TTCATAAAACATTTAAAAAACACAGACACAGGACTTCTGTGCAGTGTCGCCAAAACTGATGCTAAATCAGGTCAAAACCATCTTGCTGTGCCTAATAGTGTCTTTGATGATGCCTCTCAGTCTGCAGTGTTATTATTAATATTATGCCTGGTGTTTGTTCAGCTCATGTCAGAGTTTTTTGGGGCTTTTTGATAGTGATGTGGCATCATTCTGTTTACAGTTACTGGAATTGAAAGCTTTTTAACTATTGGCAATGTTTGTCTTTTCTTACATGATAATTCTGTTGTTTTCTTTTTCACTGTATGCATTGGTATCTTGTCTAATTTCATGTTGTTGTTTGTATAAATACTGTATGTCTATGTCTTGTATGGTGTTGTATTGTTCTGCATATGTGCTATGTACAAACCTCAAATCTTTATTAAAGTCCTAATTTTCAGATGTAAAGAATGTGATTCATTTCTATATATATTCTATTTTTATATTCAGAAAAATGTCTGTAAGAGCTGCTCTTTCATTCAAGGACATGCACAAACACACACACACTTATAATTTAAGTGCAGCAGCAACAAACTCTTCTCTGGTAAGAGTGCTCTCCAGACTTGACAAGAAAAAATCTTATTTTTTCAATGACAGAGAAGAAAGTGTATTTCTTTGTTCTCTTGGTCCTCTGTTTATTCTCCTTCTAAGCAGATTAAATAAGCCTGGAGCCTTCTCCCTCGGGTGAAACAGGTGTAGATGCGAGTTAAGAGTAAATTGAGGATTTAGGAGACCAAGTGAGGCATCTGTTGTATATCAGCTACTCATTTAGTCATGAAAAAACTGGTTCTATTTCTGTAGCATGTGTTTTAGAGGCATAATGGGTTCAGGACCTCACATTCAGGGAATGTCTTAAATGAACAGTACACTGAAAGAAAACACGTGGCGTTCACAGTAGAACATATACAATATTCTGTGTCCACTACTTTATGCGTATTATTGTTTAGGCCTGTGAAAACATTTTATATGCAGTCTGATACTCTTCAATGTGACATGTAACACAATATGACATAAATATCTATTTGAGATAATGCAATACAATGAAATAGACCAGCAATTTTTTGAAGCTTGCATTCACTTTTTTTTTCTTCTTGTTTATTTAAATAAAGCAATTAATAGAAACTAAACGTTTTGTTAAATACTTTTTGGCCTTTTAGCAGAGAGTGTCATGAGAAGACTGATAACACTTTCTTATATGTCCTTAAAATGTAAGACTATACCGGCTTAGCTTAACTAACTGACTACAGACTACAACTAAGCTACTGCCCCCTATTATTAAGTTATCATGACTGTTTTTGTGGATTTCATTGTATTTTTTAAAGTTTTTTTTTTGGCTTTATTTGATAGGGACAGCTGAAGATAG